GAATACTGTTTTACTGTATTTATTTCCAGGAAACAAGTAAAAACGTGGAAACCCTCTCAGGTGTTCAGCATGGCAGTGCTTAAATCAATTCTTCTATGAGATTATTATTATTATTTGAAGAACTACTCAACTAGTAGGGTCCAGAGGAGGGCCACTCGCATGGTCAGGAGGCAGCAGTCTAGGCCCTACGAAGATAGACTAGAGGGCCTGAACCTATTCAGCCTCCACAAGAGAAGACTGAGAGGGAATCTGGTGGCCGTCTATAAACTCACCAGCGGGCACCAGCGGAAAATAGGTAAGGCCCTGTTCCCCCAGGCACTACCTGGGATAACAAGGAATAACAGCCACAAACTGATTGAGAGCAGGTTCAGGCATGGTATCTGGAGGCATTACTTTACTGTTAGTGCTGCCAGGCTCTGGAATGGGCTCCCAAGGGAGGTGGTGCTCTCCCCTACCTTGGGGGTCTTCAAAAGGGGGTTGGGTAGATATCTGGCTGGGGTATTATGATCCCAGCACTCGTTCCTGCCCAGGGCAGGGGGTTGGACTTGATGATCTGTTCAGGTCCCTTCCGACCCTAGAAACTATGAAACTAAGTTTAATTTCAGACCATCTCAAGCTGAAGCAGTCTCTCAGGGGCAAATTCAGACTTGACACATCAGTTGGTGAACCAGTACCACTTTCTTATAAAAGGACCCAAGACCTACAATATTTTCTCAAATATAAGACAACCCTGAATATAAGATGGCACCCTCAATAATTAGATTCTATATATGGAAAAATTATAATTTAAAAATAATTTTCCAGGTACAAAATCTAAGTATTGGAGGCTTGTTTTGCACCCCTCCCTCCTTTCCTCTTCCCTGCTCACTTTTTCCCCCTGCAGCCTTCCTGCCCCTCTGCCACCTGCTGCCCCCCACCCCCAACTCCCCGCAATCTCTGCCCTACTCCCCCAGTCTCTGCCTCTTCCACCCCTGCTCCCCACTCTCTGCCCCTTCCCTCCAAAACTCCCCAGTCTCTGCCTCTTCCATTAACCCACTGCCTTACTGTAAGATACTGCTCAGGCAGCCCTGTCCTGGAGCACTGCACATGGAAGTTTAGCCCTTGCCAGGCCATGATGCAGTGTTGGCACTGTTAATTGGCCAGGATGGGGAAGGAGTTTCCATGTTCTCTATGCTTGGGAGAGACCCCAGGCATAGCTCAAATATAGCTGCATCTGACAATAAGGGGGCAGGAAGAGAGTGGGTAGGAATGGCAAAAGCTTTAGAGGGGAGGTGGGTAGGGCAGGAGGCTGCTGTGGGTCTGACTCTGGTTCCAACCAAAGTCAGAACCACAGCAGCCACCTGCTCCACTTCATATGCGAATATAAGACGAAGGCCTTTCCCTTCTGTGCTAATTGGGGGAAAGGCCTCATCTTATATTCAAGTGAACATAGTATTTTCCCATCTGCACACATTTCCTATGCATGTATAGGAGACATAACATTTCCCACGGTAAACTATTTTTATTGATAAAATGAGATGTTTCTCATAGAGAGACATTACTGACTTAGAAATATTTCCTTTCTTATTGTTCATACTTCAATCAATATGTATTTTCCACTTACTAATGGCAGGCCTAAAGTGTTTCTGGTAGAGCTGTGCAAGGCTTCAGTAGCTGATTTGATTCAGAGGAGATTCGGCCCAATTCGGGGACCAAAACTCCAAATCCAAATAGAACCGGGAGACCAATTAAAAGCTCCGAATCAATTCAAAGCATCTGAATCAATTTGAAAAAGCTTCAGAAAAGTTTGGCCACTTTGGAGATTCGGCCATAGACTAAACAGGCAGCTGACACAGCTGCCTCCAGCTAGTAAATGTGTTGGAATCGGGGGAGGGGAGAAGGGAAGGGGTGTAGGGGAAGGAGGGATTGGGGCTGGGACAAGCTGCCCAGCTGGAAGAGGGCAAGTAGCAGCAAGGCATAGCCCCCGCTCCCAGCATGACTGCACCCACATGTTCTGCGCTGGCTGGCAAGCAGCCACAGGGCAGAGCCCCTGCTCCCAGTGTTGATGTGGGTGTGGCAGCACTGAGAGCAAGGGCTATGTCCTGCTGCCACCCAAAGCGAGCTGTGCCTGCATTGTGCCCCCCCACCGCCTCCCCATGCCAGCTGGGCAAGTGGCAGCAGGG